CCCCATCATGGATATTATCTGAACACTCTTTCTTTTCTTTCCAATTGCCATCAAGTCAACTCAGACTCATGGGTACCCCATGTTGTGTTAGAGCAGAACTGTACTCCACAGGGTTCCAGTGGCTGATTTTTCAGAAGCAGATCACCAGGGCTTTCTTCTGAGGTGTCTCTGGGTGAACTTGAACTTCCAACATTTTGTTTAGCAGCCAAGCATGTTAACTGTCTGCACCACCCAAGTGACTCCAACTGTTCTTTAGTGGTCATCTCTTTTTTTGTTGTTGTTCCCTTATTTAAAAAAATCACAGAAATAAAATACTGTACAGAAAAGGAAATTAAACACTAATTTATAAATGGACAATAACCCAAATTTAAATAAGCAGTCACTCTCCAAATCAATCACTAAAAGACCTGAAGGGAACACCATACCTTTCTATTTCCATAGAAAGTCCACTGCTGGGATGAAGACTGTCTTTTCTGTAAGCTACCAAAGGCATACAAGATTTTAAAAAAATCAACTCGTATTTTATATGAGATGCCACCTAAAATCTCAAAGAGAGCTTGTGGGGTGCTGCCAAGCTGTAAAGAAAGAAGGAAGAGAAAGGGAAGGAGAAAGTTGGTGTCAGACAGAACCAGAGCTCAGTCCCTCATTTCACAATTTCCAGCTCTGTGGTGTTAGTCAAATTACTTAAATTCTTTGAGCCTCTGCTTTCTCATTTGTAAAAATGCAGGTTATAATAACAGAGACAAGGAATTGCAGCAAGGATTAAATAATTTATGTAGAACATCAGAGCAGGAGTCCCTGGTGCCACAAATAGTTACACACTAGACTGCTAGTTAAAAGGCGGGCAGTTCGAACCCACTCAGAAGTCCCTGGAAGAGTGGTCTGGCAAGCAACTTCAGAAAGGTCCAAACCAAAATAATCCACTGTTGTTGATTCAATTCTGACTCCCAGTGACCCTATAGGACAGAGTAGAACTGGTCCATAGGATATCCACAGCTATAATCTTTACAGAAGGAGAGTGCCACATCTTTCTCCTGTGGAGCAGCTGATGGGTTCAAACTGACGATCTTTAGGCTGGCAGCTGAGTACTTAACCAGCACGTCATTAGGGATTCCTCAGAAAGGTCACGGCCTTGAAAATCCTATGGAGCAGTTGTACCCTGCACACTAGTGTCACCTCAGTAACAACAACAGAACAATAAGCACAGTGCCTGGTATCCCATCATTCTCAATATGTGGGAGCTATTTTTACTATTATCTACTTATATCCATTTTCCTATAAACACCACTTGAATATATATTAATCAACAGACCATTAGACACATGTGTATTGCTCACTTATGGTGTACCTAGTACTTCAAGTAAACGTCAGCAAAGAAAATTTTCTACTTCAGTAAGTCTTAATAATACCAACACTTGTTCAGCATTTACAATATAGCCAGGACAGTTCTGGGTATTTATTTGCTTGTATTATTTCATTTAATCCTGAAACATCTCTTTGTGGTAGATGCTAGATACTATGAACTGCAATACTAATATAATGCTCATGTGTTGGGCATGCAGAAATCACAACACTATAAAGCTAAGAAGATCAAAGCTTTATTTTGTGATGAGAGAACTCCAAAATACTGCTTACACCAAAGAGAAGCAACAGGAGATAGTCTCTCTTTGAAACCTTTTATCTTATAGGTCAAGGATGCTGAAAGTTTGAACGATTTGTTCAAAACTATATACTAAATACATTTTTCATTTTCCTTGCAGGCAATCAAACCCTGATATCCTATTACCAGATTATTCTTAAAGAGAAAGAGATACAAAGCGAATGTAACAAAACGTTAACATTGGTTCATGCTTAGGGTTGAGTACAAATAATACCTCTAATGTTATTTTCTTTATCTTCAAAATTTTTAGTTCGAAAAATAAAATGCTTCACCTGCCAATTCACTTTTCATTTTCAAAGCAGGTAGAGCAACCTTTATATATACCAGATTTCTAAAACTCCAGGCCTTAATTTTTTCTTCTTTTTTAATAAGGCAAAACAGATGAAATTTCACACAGTAAAATATATATACAATTCTCTAGAGGTTTTGGCAGTTTCTTCATAGCCTAATTCTTTCCCTAATTTACTGGAGTCTGTAAATCTCAAAATAATGGAAGGTTTAACAAGAAAATCAAAGATGTTTTTAAAACGGGAGGGGGAAAGAAGAAGACCTCTTATGCTGCATCCTCAAAAAGGCCTCTTCATCAAAATACTCATAAGCAACTGCGCATTACTTGCTTCACCTTCTGATCCACAACATAAATATGTGAAATATATTTATTTATGTAAGTAGTGTGTACAAGGAGAGCACACATGGACAGACATATTTTTCCATGAAGATCCAAAGGGGAATGCACAGTGTCTGAAGTTCACAACTGGTTTTTAGGGTCTACTGAGTAAGATAATCATAGGGCATGCATTTCTAATACAGCAGAATTTCCAGAAATTAGGCAATGTTGGAGAAGTAAGGCAGAGTAGGACCAAAGTGCAGATAATGATTCAATAAGAGGCCAATAGTTTGATGTGTAAGACAGGAATGATAGGGAAGAAAGCTCTTGCTTTGAAACACAGACTGTAAGCTGACAATGGAGACAAGCTAATACTACTTTTGAATCTGGGTTTCTGCATTTCAGTTTAAGATAACTGCTCTTATACAGCTAATGGCAGAATGCTGTATAATGAATTACTTGCATTTTTAACTTATGTTAACTTAGTAAAAATTAAAGTGACTAATAATTTACTCTTCATTACTTTAATTTTCAGAAATGGTCATGGGCTACAGAAAGACTGTTGCCCCCTGCCAAATACACCATCAAAGAAAGACTCTAATGGAAATTCTTTGATAAAACTTTGGTGCTATACACCCCTCAGATATCAAATGGAGTTCCAAGTATGGCCAAGGGTGAAGTTAGAATATCTTCTAACCCTTTATCTCAAAAATAAAATGCAGCCTTTGAGGTTCTACCCTCTCCCACTGTAAGCTTATGCTTCTTGGAATTACCCTCTTGGTCCGAGAAGAACTTTCAGAGTTGGCCAAACCACCTATGATCCTGAACAGCCACAAGCCATCATCCTGTTGTTCTGGCTCCCACACTGTGTTTCCATATTTACCCTGAAGACACAGTTGCTAAGTTGCACAGTGCTTCTAATCTGCCAAAACACACTCACACACACTGCCTCACTTCTCCTTTCAACATTTAAACAAATTTTGTATTGAAAACTCACTTTTTTATGACCCCTAGCCACCCCTCTCCCTGTGCGCCCTGTTTCCAGGATGCCACCACTACACATCCTGTTGGTCAGGGTGCAGACTTAGAAAGCATTCTCAACTCAACCTTCTCCTTCACCACCATCTACTCACCAAATATGGTTGATTCTACCACTAATTTGCTATTTCTTTCTAGTCTCATAAGGATCTCTGGTGGCACAGTGCCAAAGGCATTTGACAGCTAACAGAAGGCTGGCAGTTCAAACCCACAGCCACTCCACAGAAGGAAGACGGGCAATCTATTCTCATAAGATTTACCACCCCGGAAATCCAATGAGGGTCATTATGAGTTGGAATCAACTTGATGGGGGTGAGTTTGATTTTTTATGGGTTTTTCTAGCCCCATAGTAGCCCTGGTGGCACAGTGATTAAGTGCTTGGCTGCTAACCAAAAGTTTAGGGGTTCAAACTCACCTGTTGCTCTGCAAGAGAAAGATGTGGCAGTCTGCTTCAGTAAAGATTATAGCTGTGGAAAACCTATGGGGCATTGCTTCTATGTCCTTTAGGGTTGCTAAGGAGTTGGAATCAACTTGCTAGCAACAGGTTTGAGTTTTGGGTCCAGCAGTTTCTCATACCTGGCCTCAGCTTCTCCAATATTCTCTCCACACCATAGCACTTCCCTGCTTCAAACGTTACTGACACATCATGACTTATATGCATGTAAGGTTCTTCACAATTTGGTCCATTTCCCAGCATTCCCACCCCCTTCCATACCAAAGTGAATCCTTCCCCGGCATCCTATACTCCAGCTACACTGAACTCCTCAGAGCACCCAAACCTGATAAACCTTCCCATATATCCATGCCTCTGTTATGCTGCTTCTCTAACCTCTCTTTGAGGGTTCCGCTTCTGGTTATTTCCCCCAGAAAGCAACATGATACCTACCCACCTCCATCCCTACCTAACTCAGGGCACATTATGAACTTACCACATAGATAAGTATAGGGGGCCTGGTTGCCACTGGGTCTAGAAGTGTACAAGATTAGAAATCAGAACATGATTCTTCTCACTTAGGTTTAATTTGTCTTCACTTCAATAGTAGCATGGAGAGGTGAGGTTTGTGTAAATAAAGATATTAATCCCCTGATTTTGGGATACTAGACTTTATAAAAAAATTTTAAAATTAAATTAAGTTAAATTTTTAAATTAAAATTAAATTAAAAGGCGTTGCCCATGTGCCACATCTAGTGCACACCATTTTCCTATTTCAGTGATAACTATACAGTGTGCCCCTAGAGAATCCAGGCTTCATGTCTACCACAGTGGGCTGTCACTGCCCTACAGGTCGTTTCCCTCCTCAGAGTCAAAGCGATTTGAGGAAAAAGATAACTGAGTTCATGAGGATCTTCAGAATCTACCAATAGTGTTCAACCAATGTTTCTGGAATCAACATATGTAGACTTTTTATGTAATTCTACAAATGACAACTCTGAGGCAGAAAGTGGCTAACTGACATGCTTAAAGAAGAACTGAGACTCATGCCTCACGATTCCTGGCTGGCCCCGTGGGGCGCGGGCTACCAGATGTCAGTAGGTGACATTCCAAAGACTGCATAATCCAATCCAAAACTAGAAGCAAATCTTCTGAACGACAGCTTCCTCTATGACCAACACAAACATTACATTCAGTGGGCCGTGAAGCAGCTATTCCCAGTCTTCCTAGCAGCCTGATTCTCAAAGGTCCACATACCATACCTTTTTCCTCTGTCACGTGGCGAAGCAACTTTTCAAGGTCAGGAAGTTTCAGCAACAAAATGCAATTTGGAAATAAGTCATCCACCACAACTTGATCGAGAGGCTGGAATTTTCCCTGAAAGTACACTCTAGTCAGTCACCAAACTCACAGATTGAATAATGAGAAAAAGTTCTATTATTTTATAGCTAGGCCTTTAAACTGAGGTCAGAGACACCTGTCCCATATAATGAATCCCTAAAAATCCCTACACTGAATGGGGCAGGTTCCAGGACTGTAAGAGCTGGGACTCCAACCAGCACACCATCTACCTTGGGGTAGTACCACCAAATGAAAGAGGAACATTATTCAGTAAAGTACTGGAAGCCACAGAAACTTGCCAAGATGGTAGTAATTACCTAGAGCTGGTCTAACCCACTGATGTGAAGATGAAGCAGCTGAGGATCACAGCAGGACTCCTGATCACCACAGGGGAATAAGCCCAGTCTGGGGCAAACGGAGTCCCTGGGTGGTGCAAATGGCTAAGAACTAGGCTAATAAGCAAAAGGTTGGCAGCTTAAAGGCACCCAGAGGTACCTCAGAAAAAAGGCCTGGCAATCTGTTTCTAAAAGATCACAGCCATGAAAACCTTACGGAGGGCAGCTTTATTGTGAAACACATGGAGTCACCATGAGTCAGAAATGACTGATGACAAGTGGTTTGGTTTTTTTTTTGGGGGGGGAATGTACATCTCCCTTCCCTATCCTCAATCCATGGCTAAAGAAAAAAACACCCACAAGGGAAAGAAAAATATTAAAAGTAAATCTACTCCTGCCAAAGCTGTCTTGTCAAATCGAGACTATAATGAACACTAGTGGGATAAATGCAAACAAGCTGTAGATACACTTTTAAATCAGGCTCAGATACTAACTATAGGAGGCTTGGTTGCCAATGGGCCCAGAACTGCAAAATAGAAGATTTTAGAACATTATTCTTTTCACTAAGGTTTAGTTATTCTTCACTTCGCTAGTAGCATGGAGAGGTGGTTTGTCTAAATTAAGAGATAGTCCTCAGATTTGGAGACACCAGATGGCAAGTCATGGTAAAATGACTTGTAAAAGATGTATGGTTTCACCTATGTGCCACTTCTAGCTCACTCTATTTTTCCGGTTTAGTGACAACTCCTTTCGAAGACACAAAAACTGTGTCTGGTCAGCTATCTTTCTGGTAACATAGCTTTCTTTGGTTTTAAGGCTGAAATCTCACTCATTTAGTAATATGCAATAACTTGTCATACTTTGTTAGGATAAAAAGTAGCAAGAAATGCCTTAATTCAAATGCCCTTTTTTTTCCCTCAAGTCCTAAGAATAATTCACAGATGCCCCAGGTCTTACTATCTACCTTATCTATATTCTATATCTGGATTTCTACCTCAATCTATAGTCTTTCATGATCAACTAATATTGAAAATATTTACCCTATTGCACTCTAATTATCTGTAATGGACTCTTACTCAGTCACGTTATAATTAATTTTCCATTCCTGTTTTCTTTACCATGTTGTTGTTGTTGTTACATGCTGTTGAGTCGGCCCCGACTCATAGCGACCCCTCCTTGGGTTTCCGAGGCAGTATCACTATGGAAGTAGATTGCCCCATCTTCCTTCAAAGGAGTGGCTGGTGGGTTTGAACCGCCAGCCTTCTGGCTGGCTGTCAAGTGCCTTAGGCACTACGCTACCAGAGCTCCCTTTCTTTACCATACATACATATAAAGTAAATGCAGTTAAGACATGTTGCTAATGCTTTGGATATCAAATAAATAATACTTGGGAAACTAAAAAGTAGAGTTATTTTCACAGAGGTTAAAATAAATCTGGTGATTAAAAAAGAATAGATCAACATTTTAAAAGTGCTTATCAATTTATTTTTTTTAACTAAATAAGAAAAGATCACTTCTAAAATACAGAAGTAAATAAGTAAATATCTAATGTGTAAAGGCTCTCTCTAGTACTTGAGAGGAGAAATGGCTTAAAATGAAAGCAAACCAGCTTAATTCTACACCTGTTAGCCTGAGAGCTCCCAAGGAGAGATCCCAAGGAGAGGGGTGGGCCAGAAGAGTCATGGCACTAATAGAAAATGGAGGAAAACTACCAAAAGACGGGGGGG